AGGTAGGAGGAGGAGGAGGAGGAGGAGGAGGAGGATGGGGGGGGTCATCAGGAAGTTGGAATGTGGGTCCCTGTGTGTGATGTGATTGTTAGCAGAAACGTGTCAGACCCAAGCCCACCGCCACCGACCCACCACCGCCGCCGACCCTGAGCCCACAGCCCCGCTCACGCTGTGTGAGTAGAGCTCTGTACGTCTACATGCATGTGTGTGTGTGTGTGTGTGTGTGTGTGTGTGTGTGTGTGTGTGTGTGTGTGTGTGTGTGTGTGTGTGTGTGTGTGTGTGTGTGTGTGTGTGTGTGTGTGTGTGTACGTGTACACACAGTATACCTCTTAGCCCTGCACGGCCATGGAAGCCCAGATACCTTATCATTGGCTTTACTAGTGGAACAAGGGTAAACTCACTCACGAGGTCGAGGGTGAGGCAGTGGGGGTAAAAAAGAATCCGGAGGCAGACCACAGGCCCTTCTGTGGCCATTCGGGGTCGGTGTACAACCCTCCATCTTTTATCCATGGCTGAACTGAAGCCTTTCGAGCTGCTCACCAACGAGAGAATATCCCGTTAGAGTCCTTGCAAAAATCGCTTCATGGCTTTTTCTCACAATCCTCACTTTTGGGCCTCTGGTCGTTACGGTTCAGCAGAACTTATCCACACATTATCCACACAAGGCTGACACACAATATTCCTTTTTAGAAATTTGTCATAAAATCTACTCTGTTAGATGTGTCTAACAGAGTAGATTTTATGACAAATAACCCTGACCCAATAGCGTAGGGTGTGAATGAAAACACATCGCAACCAGGAATTACAGTATTTATATATATTTTAAATGAAGAGATATCATATTCATACTCATTCTGTCAAATTAGGCGACTCCTTAGTAGCACCTAGGAAAATATCTAAAAAATGCAATCTCCGCAAGCTTTTGTTTTTCTTCCCCCCCACATTTCTCTTCTCTGGTTCGGTTCCTGTGAGCCAAACTGTGGATGGGTTTTCAGCCACAAACCTCACAGCTGGTCCTTTGGTGCAGAGCATCTGGGCAGGCTCCGCTCCCTGATCCAGGATCCAGGATCCTGGCTGGACCGGTGGTTAGCCACACCAGCGCTTTCACCTGCCTGTCTGCTGAAGCCTCACCAGACTCTAAGCCGCTCTAAACAAGCGGTAACTTCAGACCACACACTCAATAGAACTGGACAGCCAGGAGGTATAAGGAGTATTATGTATTTAACCCCTGTGAGTGTAAGTGTGTGTGTGTAGGTGTGTGGGTGTGTTTCCGTGTCTATCAGTGCATGTTGCATACAATTTTCCAGCATAAAATTCACAAGAAAACTGCATGTTCTCGTAATCCTGCGTTGAGCTTTTATTCACTTCTCACCTCACGCTTCGACCGAACACCCAGTTCACACTATTTTCATGACACCTCTTCATTTGCGGCACAGATTTGTGGGATTTGTAGTTCTTGGAGAGGAACCTTTTTTTTGTGCCACACAGTGTGCTTTTAGGATAAGTACTCAAAAGGGCTTTAGGCTGTTTGCATCGGGTGCTTTCATGTTTAATGCTGCAGAACAACAGTCAGCAGCAGCAGCATTGGTGAGACTGTTTAGAGGCGACCGGTCAGCAAACTGCTGCTTTGTGACTTCTGTGGTTGCTGCATTGTTTGTCCTCAGGCTATAATTAGATTTGATGTTTCAGAGTAGATGGAAAGCATGGTCACGGACATGTTGGGATTTTTCATTCTTGTGGGGACAGATTTTATTTATCTACATGCACAGGTTCTTTATTTTATCTATACTGATAAACGTTTCATAATTCTACTGTCTAACGCAGTTAAAGTTATTTTCACTTATTAGAACTTATTTTTTGCTGGACTTAAATGATGTATGCTGACTATTAAATCCACACAATTATACAAACTCCAATTAAACTTTTTAATGTAATTTTTATGAATTAACAAAGTTTGTGGGGAGGCTAAATCCTTTGTCTCATTTGCAGTAAGATGAGACGATATCTATTAATTTATTTATTTTTTCTATGTGACGGAGGATTGTTTACTCTTTCTTTTTAATTGTATTTTGTGTAATTCTATTTATGTGCATTGTATCAATACAGCTCGAAGTCATAAACTGTCTCTATTATCTAATGATTCGATGGTTTTGTGAGTTTTGAAGCAAGTTAAATAATATATTCAAACAGTTTTTAGATTTAACATTTCAGCCGCACAAGAAGATATAACATTTTTAGGATGTTAAATGGGCCTTTCTTTTTTAAGAAGAGCGAACTTTTGCCACCGATTGTTTAACATGCAATGCGGTTTTTAATGCAATATAACAACTGACACGACACAATATCGGTTTATGAATAGTTTTTATTTCAGAAATGAAATAAAAACAAAAACTTGATGACACAAAACTTCTCACGTGTCCCGGTGCGTGTGACGGTGATATACATTTATTGATTATCTTGAACCGAATTTAGTTCAGCTGTTCTATTCTTGTTTTTTATTTAGATATCCTTGGCGTGGCGCACCGTGAACGCGTCTCTTGTTAGAGACTGTAAGTTAATTACAGTGTGACGCTTTCTTCACGCACCTCCACGTCCACGTCATCTGCTCGTGAAGGTTGCCTTTAACTTTAAAATGATCAAAACGCTGCGTTTGGGGTTGTCGTCGGACCATCGGTTTATTTTCACATTTTACCTCCTGCATTAGGCCCTTGAACAATTCCTACCTGGTATTTACCTCTTAAATAACGAGTTTAGCATTTAAACCACTACGCAGTTTATTTTATGAAAGAAGTTTGTGCCACTTTTTTTTGTATTTGCCACTTCCAACTTAACCTCGTGTTTATACATCTGCTAGATACGTTTTCAAGCCAATTAGGCCCCCTGGCTAAGACGGAACCAGGGTTACTACAGAGCGCACACAACGTGCCGCCTATAAGAGACGCAGATCTAAAACGTATTACGCAAAAATGATTTGGATTCATTGCAAGATATTGTGCACTTTTTTTGAAAACTATTATTAACTTTTTAACGCCAAACCATGGTGTCACGTGGGCCTGTATCTGATCTAAATTATAAACAAAAGCGGTATGCCTTCTTTTGCACTCTGCCAACGCGTTGGTTGTGTTAATAAAAGCGTGCCATTCGGAGATCCTATATAGCTCCTTCTGCAGCTGTGTGTGTGTGTGTGTGTGTGTGTGTGTGTGTGTGTGTGTGTGTGTGTGTGTGTGTGTGTGTGTGTGTGTGTGTGTGTGTGTGTGTGTGTGTGTGTGTGTGTTGTCCCTGTACCATACAAACGCAGCAAACCAGTTAGAGCGTTTTCAGAAGTTACGTGAGGCTGATTTTAGGGCCTCTAACTTGGTTTTCTTGCAGCCCCTTTAGTCGATGTGTTTTTGCCGAGAGGTTTCAACATTTGTCATTGATAAAACCGTAAAGGGAATTGTCAAGATGTCCAAATTTGCACAATTTTACAACTCAAATTGTTGTTTTAATATTATTTTGCTGGCTTTGGATAATGTTTGGATACAGATGACATATTTAGGGGTTGCATCCTCAGCATCTCAAAGATACTAAGTACAGAGTTTACGTTTCTCTAAATAATAATTACAAAAGACAAAGGTTATTCTAGCTGCTTTCAACACCCAATCCCTTATGCGATCGAGGTCATTCATCTGCGTTTCAGTCCTGACCGTCTCAAGAAATGTGTTGCTATTGACAGCTCACTGATGGACAAACATCCACCTCATGCGGCGTCTCTGTATCACACAGAATGATTGGGAAACTGACTTAGTAGGCGCGTGCGTATCATGAGACAACAACCTCAGATGCAAGTGAGACATTTCATGCGCACACTACAAGAAATGTCAGCTTGTGCACGTTTCATGTCCTGCTGCCTCTGTCTGTAAAAGCAAACATGCTGCTTATTGTTAGTGGTGTTGTTTCCAGAGAGAAATCATTCAAATCCACACATTCAAATCACAGTTCATGAGCAACACATGTCAAAATATCTGGGTGGTAAAATGTCTCATTTGAAGTCCTATTTTACTTCTTGTTGAAATGGCATTTTTTTAGTATCTCTTTGCACTGCCACACGCCGCTAAGCCACAGGCCTCACCGACTGCTACATGCGCGCGCGCGTATGTGTGTGTGTTTTTTTTTACTGCAGTGACAAATATGTCCAATTCACTATCTATTTGCGTCTTTTTGTGCGGGGTAACAAGTATTTTTCATAACATTCAGAGACACGCGGCCCGTTGATTGGTAATGCTAATTACACACACACGTGGTTGGAAATGAAATGCATCCTAATTAATAATTCGACCATAAGTGGACACAACTGGTTGACAAACCGTATATGTTGATGCGTTGATAAACCGGGTGGTGACGAAAGAAGCGGAGGTTGCGCGTAATGGCGCACGAGGAGCAAATATCAAATGGATTCCCTCTATCAGATTGGGATTATGTGGAGGATTGGAACAGAGGCTGGGGTGAGGGCCCGCGAGGATTACAATTTACTGTATAAACCGATGCTATTCCAGCGCAGACGGCTCTCCCGTCACCCCCCCTTGTTGAACTACGTCGCGGACTCCGCTTCCGCTTCGCACGGTTGTGAGTCAGTGATGCGCAGTGGAGGGTTGGAGAGAGAGCGCGCGCGCGAGAGCGAGAGAGAGGAAGAGAGAGAGAGAGAGAGGGGAGGAGGGCGTAGAACGAACAAGGCAGAGACTGGGAGAGAGAGAGAGAGAGCGAGACCGGGAGAAGGAGGTGACGGACCTGCTCCTCTGGGAACCCGGCTACAGCTCACTGCTATAGGTGCTACCAGCGGGCTCCGCTCACTCAACGCTCCGCGGCTGTAAAATGCACGATTAGGCACCGGGCGGACCCGCCGTGTAGCTGTCACAGAGCCCCGCGAGGGTCTCCACGGTCACGGTGTGAGGAAATCTGGACTAACGGCGTGAGGAGGAAGAGGAGGAGGAGAAGGAGGAGGAGGAGGAGGAGGAGGAGGAGGAGGGGGGCGAATAGAGGGGATCCATGGAGATTCTGTGCGGCTTCATCGAGCAGACCGTCTGGATTAAGCTGATTTGAGACGCAGTGTTGGACAATTGCAGAGACGACGACGGTGTTGTGCTCCCCCCCCCCTTCCTCCCTCCCTCCCCGCCCCCCCAACCCCACGACCCACGATCCAACCGTACAGCCCGCGACGTGTTTTGGGTTTTTGGGTAAGCTGATCCCCGCTCCGTTCCGGCTACGTGTGCGCGTTGCTGTTGCGTTTTTTTTGTTTTGTTTTTTTACGCTGCAGAAGAGACACATGCGAGTTGTAGAGGATCGCATTTGCGCTGAGTCGCGATACGACAACGACGCGAAGGAAGATACATATAGGTAATTGCGTTTTCCCTAAAATACAGGGGGGGGGGCTCCTGGGGGCTCCTGGGTGCTCGTTCAATGTGCAGCCTATTTTACCCCACAACTGAGTCAGCCATCACACCTCCCGTGTCAGGAATAACACGGTTCCCTTTTATTCAAATCAAACCTTTAATTGCGCCAGTTGTTTTGACGATGCCTTTCCTGATCTCTAGTCTATTTAAAAGTGCAACAAAGGTTCAATTCACCGGCTTTTACTAAACTTCAGTTCAGACTAAAATCCACTTCGTCTATTGCTGTGGGTTCCTTTTCTTACCTTTACCTCTGTTGGTTTGTAATGCTGTAGTTATTCGTTGTGTGCGCCGCACGCACTAAATTCAGTTTATGAATACAAGCGTATTTAAATCACTCGATTATATAAATATATTGTTTTAAAATAGATCCAGTCCCACGCACTGACAGCTCTGTTTGGGGTTTTTACAGCTGGGACAGCAGTCTTCGGGGATCCGGTCATGGCGGACCAAGAGGAGACTTTTGCCCTTGAAAACTCTCCTGGTGGTTCAGAATCAAGGGAATTACAGTCCGACAACAAATCTGAGAAACAGAACGGGACCTCAAGCAAATCGCCCTCATCTCAGACCACTTACATTCAGCAGGTCAGTATCAGTCTGCAGGCCTCACTCGTGGGGTCACGGGGAAAAAATAATAATAATAATGCATGTGCATGTCTGAACTAGTGCTATTTGTCTTGTTTTGGTTGTTAAAATATACCCGAAATGTTAAAGAAGGTGTCTGGATGGATTAATTTGCCATATTCTATGAATGTTCAGACAAATTTCACTTTTTTGGTATGTTTTCCTACTCTTGTCTAACTGTTGTGCTCAGATAAACTCATTTTAGAACATTTGTTAAACGAGTGAAACATAAGTAAATATTAAAAACAATTTGGGTTTGTTTGACTGGATTTTAAAGATTAAAATGAGATCAAACTGATAAATTATGCAGGAGAATACATGAATAGCCAGACACTAACTCTGGCCTTATTATAGTGTGTAGTTTAAATGTGTATACTAAAGGCCCAACAGGTTTAAGACTACGGAATGTGTTACCGAATGGTTACATTGTATCAACCACATTACTTTATTTGCTACACCTACGTGCACAACAAGTGCGCGTTTTTACATATGTATATTTTACTGCCATTCATAACTTACTCGTTGTCAGAAAACATGCAATTTGACCAAGTCAGAAGGCCTCAAACCATGTTAAACAGTAGTCATCTGAGCACTGAAAGGGTTCATTTTGAAGGGAATGGAGGGAATAAAAGTCTACCTGCACGAGAGGGAACTCTGGATAAAGTTTGACGAGGTGGGCACGGAGATGATCATCACCAAAGCTGGAAGGTAAGAGGACAATATCAAATTATTTATTATTATTATGACACTAACCATGACATGGGAAGGTTTATTGACTGCATCACTGGTTACTGATAATTCCCACCTATTAATTTGTATGGGTTTCATATAGGAGTAACCTCCTATACAGGCCCGGCTGGATTTTTTTTTTTTTTTTTTTTTGCGTGGGGAGATTGGAAATCTACACTGTGAGGAACCACAGAGAAAACACGGAGCATCTGGTGGACGCTTTAATAGCGATCTGTGACACCGCCATACATATTAGTCTGGGTGGCCCTGTTGGGGAATTACAAAACTATCAACCAATCAGAGCGAGCTCACGTAAAAAAAGAATAAATTCCTAGGCTGCCATGGTGTCTTAGAAATACCAATCAAACAAACACCATTCGGAGCACGTTGTGCGTTTGCAGCGCCCTCCCTGTGTTTGTATGCATGCGTTCTTTTTGCGTCCCAACGCGACTATAGCGCTCATCCGCGAGTGTGAACGTGCATAAATGTGCGATGCCCGTCGGTGACCGCTCCTGTCAAAGCGCCCGCTTTGGCTCACATGGGTGTAAGCTGTGAGAAATGATGAATATTCAAAGGGAAACACTGGTACATGTCATTGTGCTGCGCGGGTCGGGCGGTGCGGGGTTGTTTTCACACAGCTGCATAAAGTCTCCCATTATATTCCCGTCAGTCATTTCTCGCGTGTTTTTGGCCTGAAATGATATTACGCAGCAGCTCCCCCCTCGTCGCAGCCTTTCCCTTTTGACTCTTGAGGCTGTCCAGGCTCACTCACATTATGTGGGTTGTTTTTTTTTACATTATGACAGCTACCAAATATCCGGATGATTTACTAAACGGATCCTGCAAAAAAAAATGGAAGAAGTCTGGCCCATAGTGAAAAAGTTTTTTTTTTTTATAACGGGAGGGTTCCTCTCAGACCCAACGCCCTGCCCCTGAAAAGACGTTACCTCGCCAAACCAAATGTGTGCATTTAATTGACATTTCAAACCATCCCACGTCGGGCTGACGGAATGTATTATAATTCAATGTGCACATTTTAATGATGAAAAAAAAGAGAAAGTCAAAACAACTTTAGTTTTCATTCACATTCCTGTAAACGTGTTTAACGCATGCATGTTTAAAGGATGTCTGGAAGTGTTCTCACTATAGTGCCTACATATTGGAAACACGGCACGGTCTCTTTTTAATTGCACACATCGCCTTATTGATCCAAATAACGTCATAAACCGCGTTGTGTCCTTCAACAGGCGAATGTTCCCCAGCTTCAAAGTGAAGGTCACAGGATTAAACCCCAAAACCAAATACATTCTCCTCATGGACGTTGTTCCTGCGGACGACCATCGATATAAATTCGCCGACAACAAATGGTATGTAAAATATATAATGTTAGATCCCCCGGGAGTTATGAATTGTTTATTCCAATGGAGAAGTGTGTCGGTCGGAGCTGTGCATTATGGTTGATTGCATTTCGTTGTCGTTGTTGTCGTTGTTGTTGTTGTTGCTATACATGCCCATTTAACTTAAACAACGTTATTTGTTCAGATTTGCATCTCCGGCTTGGTTCGGGGGATCCTTATAATCACATGCGAATAATGCCGGTCATGATTTGTCCGAACCGTGTCGTGGAACTAATGGTCTTATTGATCAAACGATGTTTTACCAACTCAACCTCTGACCATCCAGAACTAACTTTTCAAAATATTACATTATATTATTTGTATTATTACGTTTTTTACTTAAATAGACCACATAAGCTTTTCTATTTTTTTTTGCACATTTGCGTAAATGTCCTTGATGGGAAGCAAATTTCCTACCGCCCTACTAATTGTTCGTTTTTGTTTCTTATTATTTTTGTTTCGACTCTATTGAAATTAAATTCGTCTACGCTTTGGAATAATTTCAACATTTTGACATGCTGGCCTGAGGAGGAGATTGTTTTACGCTCAAGGATACTTCCACGCGCACTTTAGCGCGCTGCACGGTTGCTCGCCGGTTGCCGGGCAGGCCCGAGGTGTAACCGTGTGACCGCGTCGCTTTGATTCAGGTCCGTTACCGGGAAGGCAGAGCCCGCCATGCCCGGCAGGCTCTACGTGCACCCGGACTCTCCCGCCACCGGGGCGCACTGGATGAGGCAGCTCGTCTCCTTCCAGAAGCTGAAACTGACCAACAACCACCTGGACCCGTTCGGACACGTAGGTGCCTATCATACGTATACTATTAAGCACAGGCCTGTGATCAAAGTGCTCATAAGGAGCGCCATTAAAACTATGTCGTTCCTTTCTGCTCAGCTTTGCCACCTTTTATTTCTAAATTTCCACAGCTGGACGTTGTTGAGTGAATAACTGAAAAGCTACAGTGTGCTACTATATTTTTAAATGAATGTTATAGTCGTTGATATCATTATGATTAACAGCGATAATATTATTATTTCCATATTACAATGAAAGTCATCACAGATTATTATTTGAAGTTGAAAGTTGTAAACTTTTAAAATTGGAATGCAATTGAAATATTGCGCTTTAGAGTTTAAAGGTGATGATTTGAAGTCAATGAAAGATACAACGCCCCCCCCCCCACACACACACACACTCATATACTTGCTTGTAAAACCGTAATTTACTCTCTGAACATTATTAGATCTGTATTACACTTAAAAAATCTAAAAATCAGTCCTTTCAAAGTTGTTTTTTTCCTTTTAAATTTTTTTCCCCTTTTTAAAAATTGTACTTTCTGTCTTCTTTTTTTGCACTTTTAGGTGATCATTTTTCAAACCTCTATTTCTGAAATAATTATTGAGATGCACATGGATGAAGATAGAAAGTGTTTGAACAGGGAATTCAACCCAGAACAATTGACTCGTGGAGTTTTGAAACATTTGTTACTGTTTCAAAGTAAAAAAAAGAAGAAAAAGTACAATTTCTGTAAGGAAAAAAGATGTTAAAATGACCGGAAAACTATTCACAGTCTAGATATTTATAACCAAGGATGTTGTTTAAGGAACAAGATATTAGATTAGCTGCCAGAGGAATTAAAATACATGTTTGATTTCCTTTCGGGAAGTAAAAATATAAATTGTCCTATTCATTAAACTAATTCACTGGTTCGCATAATGAATGAGTCTCTGAGATGTAAAACAAAACAGGAATTTTCTGCTTCTGAAAATTGTTTGGCTTCAGACTTTTTGCCACTGTGGAAAACACATTTGGATCCAAAGTCCTCTTGAGTACTCTGCAGGTTTATTTGCATTCAAGTTATAGACCTCGTGGCAGTCCTCTTCCGTCCAGGGAAGCAGTTTCGTATTTTTTTTTAGGGAAAAGGGAAAAGGCAATGACCCCCCCCCCCCCCCACACACACACACCAAACACTCCTTACCAGTTATACTGTGGGACCCATTTCCTTAAACTCCTCATTATTCTGCACTCCATATCTGGCCCCAGGCTTTTAAGATTCTGTCTTGGAAAAGCATCACTTACTTTATCAACTAATGGGCCTGTTGGCTTCAGGTTTTATACAAGTCTAAGAGGCCGGGCACACTGAGGCTAATTTAGATGTCTTGGAGAAACCAAAAAGTCATACAATTAGCTCTCTTACTAATAGGCCCGGTCATTAAGGGTGGGGGAGGGAGGGGGTACTTATGGTACATGCACTGCTATTCTGATTTTAAGGAGGTTAGTTAAATTCTGTGGGGAAAAAACAGAAATTGAATGCTGTTATTTATTCAATTTGAAAAGTATCTTGATTACAGTTGTTAAACTGAATTTGTTTCAAAACTGTGGACTAGGCGAAGGCATTGCAGATGCAGATTGACAATTATGTATAAAGTGGTTGTTTCCTCACCCAGGCTGGTGAAACGAAATTGTTGCTCAGTTGGAATGTACGCAGTGTTGTGCGTTTTGGGGTTGAAGTGCATTTCTGATTGGCTGCAATGGTTCCTGGCTCGGCCTCTCTCGTGGTGGGAGACAGCACCCTGGGATTCATAAATGAGACGCTGGCTGCCCAGGAACATATTCCATTGGCTTGTTGGTCCAGCTGGTTGAAATAACTACATGCCTCATAGTTACGAGCAGTGAGACATGGGACCAAAGCATCTCTGAAGTACAATGGACCAGTTTTCTTCCCTCTGTTTAGTTGCTCGCTGTGGGGAAGGAGTCTCATTGGACAGAAGGGAAAGTGGTTTTGTACTCTTCGGGGTTTAGCTTTATTTATTTTTCAAAAGGTAAACTTGTCCGCGAAATTATTTCAACTATACTTTAACTAACAGAAAATCACGTCGAGGGACAAATTGTGCTTATCGCCAGGTAAATTCCGTTTCAATGACATCATGATATGTCACCAGTTACATTAAAAATGGTGACACAAATTGACTTTGATACACTGTAAAACATTTCAAGCCAGTTCAACGTGCAAACAAAGGTTCACCTTGAAAAAGCTATTTAACTGAACTTGAAATTTCCTTTCATTCAAATAAAAGTTGATGTATACGTGCGAGTTGTCTCAACATTATATTTGAAGTTGTCAGAGTTGCGTGAACTTTCTGTCCCTTGTTGTTCATACTTGATCCACCAAGTTAAAACGTCCCTATAGTCGAACTAACACACATGTCTGCTTCATTGTAACACTGTTTCAAGTTAAAATAACGGAAGCATGTGTGTACAACTTTCAATTTCAAGTTCAAATTACAAATTTGTCTCAACTTCCAAACGGGTGACTTGACTGATTATTGCAAGTTTCCTTGCTTCATCCCAAAAATTGCCCATATGTAAATATGTATTTCAAGAATACAGGCTTTAACAGTGGGTAGTTACAGAGTAATAAAACAATTTAAAGAAATGAGTACTTAGGGTTTAAGTTTTATTACATTGCCAAAGGAAATATGTGCTTCTGTGCACTACATTTATTATTAAAAACGAGCCTCATCTTGACCATCACATCATTATAGTGCTTTGAATGGTTGGAAGAAAAGTGCAAGTACAGTTCACTGCCCATAATAATCCATTGGCATTTACTCAAGTAAAACTTTAAATGCAGTACTTGAGTACTTGCAATGAAGTATCCTCACACATGTCTTAATGCACTACACACTGCTACCTTCTTCTGTATTTGATGGTTTCTTACCGAGCTGTAGTTTTCTGCTTGGATCTCCTTGTCAACTCCTGGAATATTTCTCAATGTTATTCATCTCCCTCGATTTGCTCCTGCACTCGTCTCCCTGTCTTCCCACACATGTTTTGGCCAGGAGGCTGGAGTGTGAGGATCGCACTGTTTATATTTGAATGGCAGTGTGCGATGAGCAATAGATGATGGTGTACAAAGCCCGCTGATCCCGAGGCTCGAGGAAAGTCTCTGATGTGGTGGGACTTGAAAGCAAAGGGCAGCGGCTCGAGACCCCAAGTGATCCCTCACTATCATTAAATACTATCATCCAGAGGCGGGGGGGGTAGAGATACAGGGACCCAGGCAGGGCAGCGGCTGGGCCAGGGAGACGGGCGTGTGCTGGGGCCCCAGTGGGTGGTCCACCGTTACCCCCCCATGCTAACACACACATTGGACTTTGGGAACCCACATTCAGCGGACCATGGAGGTATCTTGCAACTTCTAATGTGTGTCAGAGGCAGACATCTCAGCTCCTAAACCATGCAGCAGCGCGGCGAATGGCATGTTTGCAATGATTGCTGTGGTTTGGTCCAATGTTGGACTAATCTCTGCAGACCTCAAGTAAGCGCTTAATGAATGCGTGCATGAATATGTTTTGTTTGACCTACTTCTTCTCGTATTTGAAAAGCTCTTTTCACTCAACATTAAGGCCTCGGGTACAAATTCAATGGTGTGGCTTGATAGCTAGGGCATGTTGTTGTTTTGACATTTGCACAGGGGCCATTGCTTCAAAATGCATCAATCCCACACTTAATTATGGGAACCAAAGCTGAGCTACAAATACAGCAGGCAGATTTAATTTCTGTCAGCCTGAGAGTTCGGTTCTGGTAAAACTATTCTCACCTCAGAGCGGAGCATACTGCCCTAAAACTCCTTTCCTGCAAACACTTGTATTTATGATTGTAAAAAATTTCCATCTGCAAGTCATCCATCCACTTTTCAACAACCTGCTTGTCCAAACAGAGGGACAAAATCTGCTGATATTGTCTGCAAAGGGTCAGTAAGTTCCATTGAATCATGTTAGATGCAATGCAAGCAGTTTCTGCCCCATTACAAAAACCTATTGCACCATGAAATTAGATCAAGTTCAACTGGAAGTTGATATTGGATGACTATTGTCTGAGTTCACTTGGCTCTAAGAAAGGACTCTGGACTTGTGCCTGTCAGGATGCACCCACAGGTACCGCAGGTCAAGGCAATCACAAAAACAACAACATTTGAGTAAACGCCTAAAGGTGGAGGAGGGCGTGTTGAGAAGGTGGTGGTCTGGCGCGGAATGAAAGCCCCATTTTTTTTCCATCTTGAAATGCAGAGTGGATCTGATGAACATTTTTCTAAAAAGAACATTGGATTTCGTCGAGGCTAAAGACCATGACTTCCTGGTCTGTCAAAACAATTAGACTTAAGACCCACGGATGAGAGGGCCTCAAAAGAGAAGTTCAAGGCTCAAGTTCAGCTGTGCGGACCGCGTCTTACTGTCGCCATGCTAGCCACGGGTAGTAGTCATCACTTAGTATGAACTAAGGTTAGAGGGCAGCAGAAGAGACGACATCTCTGTCTATCAGGGTCCTGGAACCCATCATCTGCACTATGACAATTGTAATATGGTGAATAGTATCCATAGACATACACAGGTTTGGAGTTAGTACTTTAGTTTGAGTTTTGGCCGGGATAGAACATGTAAGAAGAAAAGTTCAAACAAAAAAAAGAAATAAAAGTGCACATGGTCACATTTTATTTGAAACGATTTGTAGTCAAAAAGTTGTACAGTTTTTGACTGAGAATTTTCATTTTAATTGAATCTATTAGGGCTCTTTGAGATTGATAAGCCTTGAACAAAGTGGCAAATCTTTTTCTAATTTATTCCCCTCTGTATTTCATGTATTTCTGTATTTCATTCCCCTTTCGTACCTTAGTTATAAAACTCACCCATTTCCTTTTGGTACATGACACCAAAAAGTGTTGAAATGGCTTTGTATAGTTTTGTATCAGAAAAAGTGGAAACACATGAGCAGCAAAAACTTTAACCTCAAAATAGTCAAAAATTAAGTTTTGATGCCGTATTTAAGCATCACAAATAAGAAACAACTCTCCTTTTCTGCCTCCTCAGCGCGACGTATTGTTTTAAAGGGCGTCTTGCTGTGATGGAAAAGTAATCAATAATCTAACACCAGGATCCGCTTATCTCCTTCTTTTGTTTCTAGATTATCCTAAATTCGATGCACAAGTATCAGCCGAGGATCCACATAGTGAAGGCAGATGAAAATAACGGCTTCGGCTCTAAAAACACGGCCTTCTGCACCCACGTCTTCCCGGAGACAGCCTTCATCGCGGTGACGTCCTACCAGAACCACAAGGTAAGAGCTCCCAGGGTTACTTTGGGATTTAGTTTTGTGCTAGCAACATCAAATCAACACTATATTTATTTAGTCATTTTAATTGTACCAATGTTTTGAACTTGACAACACAAAAAATAATATGTTTAATCAAAAAAATTGCAGAAAATAATAATTTATAAAATGTATATAATAATAATTAGTATTATTATTTTTAATATTTATAAAAAATATTATTTATATATTTCACACGTGTAGAGTGTAATTCGGTTTTAACGGAGGTTTTGACGGCAAACTGGATTTGCTTTTGTCTGGAGAGAAAATGAAAGCGCCGTTAAAGTGAAGCCTTGTATCTGTCAGCTAAGAATCTCAGATATCACATCGAGTCACTGACAGACGAGAGAAAAACTTCAGATACCCGACGAGACGACGTCTGATCTCAAGAGACCCCCCCCCCCCCCCCCAACAGGCTTTGTAGAGCGAGACAAGCTGCAGATAAACAGGATAAAGCTCAGCGGGAACAAGAGAAAGTCAAAAACAATATAGTAATAATAATAATATTAATATTAATATAAGGCTTTGCTTGTGTTTGGGATCTACTATGAAACATTGTTCGAATTGCAAACAAGCTTATTTCCAAACCGTATTATGAATACTTTGAGATAGTTTGCGGCCATTATTTACAGTTAAAACTTTTCAATTTACAGGAAATAAATACAGCAAGTAACAACTTGTTTCCTAGATCATTTCTGGATTAATATCCATATAAAATATTATATATTTATTTAATGTATATGTTGGTTTGGAAAAAAATATCATTAAAATAGAATATAATTAGAATTAATACAGAGTACTAAATATTCTTTCGCCGAGGGCAATATTGTTAATAAAGAGTCCATTTAAATTGTTGCGCTGTTATTGCTAAGGCTATTGAAGCGCGTAAAGGAATTTGGGAAAGGCTTTTAATAACGGTAAAGTTCGAGTTGAATGAACGTGTGATTTCTTGAGGCCAGGCGAGCCGCGCAGTTGTTTATCGCTTCGACTCGCTGGACAGACGCAGGATAAAAATTCACTATTTACTCTGCAGACAGTTTCTCGGGGGAAATCTTGGGAACACCGATACGTGTAAACAGCGTCTGTTTCACATCATTTCACCGTGTTGTCCTTTACGTTCTTAGTTTGGGGAATATGGGAGTGAGGGGCGAAAGCTCCCCGCAGCCAATCAGACGTCTCCGCGCTTCTGGGAACAGGAAGTGCAGATGAATGGCACGCTGCAGAAAAACCATTCGTTATTTTTTAAACATGTTATTGGGGGGGAGGGGGGGGCTAAGATCGTAACCCCGAGCTAATTATTGGGGCTTTCCAGACCTGCAGAAAAACAACCATTTCTGATCTGCAGCCACTTAAACACAACTGTCTAATCAAACAGTCGAACATCTGCCAGAGTAATATGTGCCGCAGGCATGCGTCCAATTCACCTGTTGGACTAATGAAAATGTCCAAAGTCTCTTGTTTCAAAGCTTTCCTGCCGCCGCTGCGGTGAGAGCACTTTTTGAAACTGTGTTTTCTGAAACAATATTTTTTCTTCAGGAATAAAAAGTGTAAAATGAATGTCCAGCTTTTATTTAAATTACATTTGATATATATGCCTATTTTTTTTAGGTTTTTAAAAGGTTTTCTATTGGCAAAAATAGCCCAAAACATCTGGAAATGTGTTTATAGGCCTCCATTATTTTAATGAGCATCTTTGGACAACTAGTAAAACTATCTTTGACGCTGCATGAATTTTGCCTGATTATCTTGAGCACAAGTTATTTTTAACAGTGATCCTATTGCTCTGATTCTTTCCGTGCTCCGAGTCCAGTCAGTAAGATAACTCACATGTGTTTTGCAAATGTACATTTTTCTGTAAACAGAATTCTGGAATCAGTCATTTTAGTTGCATTTCTTCTTGGAACCCCACAAAGGGTAATAAAAAAAAAAAAAAAGAGTGCAACTGGACTCCTTTTATTCCTTTTATTCTTAACTTCCAATAGAAGATGAAATAAATGTGAACGCTCCAGGCTGCATGCATTAACAAGAAGCGAGCAGAGTGTCACACAACAGAGTTTACAAGGTTTGGGGAGAGTGTCAGCCAGCGTGCAGACAAACCTCCAGTCTTGTCAGAGAGCTGGAAGCGCACACACACGCTGCCAACTAATTACCTGCCAGAAACCACTGCTGGTGAGAGGGATATCCCTGGATTGTGTTTAACGTCTTTGGGATTACCTCACTATTTTGAGATGTTACTCTGTACATTTGATATTTACAATAGATTTTTTTTTGATTTTTTTGTTGTATGATAAATTATAGTATTTGCATCTTTTAAGCAAGTGCTGCCTGTTAAGCCAGAGACAGTTGTTGTGTAATAGTATAAGTTAAGCTATATGTCGTGTTGAAAATGATTTATTAAAATGTTTAGTTTAGGATCCCTAAATGCATCTCAGGTTTCTAGAAATGTGATCTACTATTCCGTCCTCCTGGGTAACTGAGCCGTCAGATGCATCCAAGAACACTTCAAAACTACAAAATCACCTTATAATACTGTCATCAGATGAGCCCCAAGCTAAAGAAGACTTGTCTCTTGTGACAGCGAAGCAGATTCTGAAATCGGGCATTTTCTTGTTTTCGTTCTCCTTATTTTGGGGGGTTAACATTGACGCATGTGTTGGTTTTAATGTGGCCCATTCAACTTGTAAAGCAATAGTTTAAGATTTAAGGGACACGGACACAACAGATGGCTTTTTATTGTGCAATAATATTTTAATGTGTTCATTTTTAGATAACCCAGCTGAAGATTGAGAACAATCCGTTTGCAAAAGGCTTTCGTGGAAGTGATGACATGGAGTTACACCGGATGTCCCGGATGCAAAGGTAACTACTCAAACCGTCACATTAGTATGTTATAAACATTGTCCCTGAAAATGTGTCATGTGGAAACACTGACAAAAAAAAGGAAAGGAGGTGTCTCTCTCTCTTGAGTAGATGAATGTTTTAACGATTACTGACATCCTGGTCACACTGTCACTTAACAAGACCAACTTTACAGTAATCCTTCAATCACCCAAACGCAAGCCAGTTCTGAGTGTTATTTTCAGTGAGAGCTCTTTTCAGTGACGTAAGTGTAGTTCTTGATCTTTGGCAGTTTTCATGCTGAAGACTTTTATGGCTGATCTGGCAGAACCTCTGAAACGCAACTGCAACATCTCCCCTCCCGACAACTCTTGCAGGAAGTTCCAACTGCTTGTGTGCGCGAGTTTGCGTGTGCGCGTGTGTGTGTCAAACTGGTTGTATCGCTTGGTCCTGCAGCCGAGGCAATACACAACCACATATGTATGCTCTCTCACTATGATTCAGTCCAGATGAGGGATGGAGCATGCGTCCGTATTGCGTGGAAAACACATTTTCAAAGGAGGATATCTGGTCTTTAACCCCCCCTCTCCAACCTTCCCCTGCCCCACACACCCCTTCTTCTGGGCAAACGTGTGGATTCAAATGTAGAAATCCCAAATCACAGGGGGGTGTTTGAATTGAAAAAGCTGTTCGCCTTTTCCACAAGGTGCTAAAATAAAACCTCCTTCCCGTAACCTTTCTTTCTATAGCCGCAGAATCAAGGTCTTGTGGTTTATGGTGGAAAACCCCCCTGGAGATCGTTTTCAAATGCTTTAAAAAACTAACACTCTAGATTGTATCAGACACACATTAATTACTTTAAGTAGGTCCATGCCACAATTTAATACAACATTTTGAGTGAAAGGCCTTTCACCCATCAAAAAGGCAGAGTCCAAACCACGCTATCAATCTTACAAGCCATAGTCCGGTCCCGCTGAGTACAGTAAGCTGCGCACGTCTGCTCTTGGTTACGATGTTGAAGGGAGAGCTTATTGCAAAACCAGGTCACTGTTTCAACTGAAATCAAAGAAGCCAAAGAGGCAGAAATGATCTATTGACGGGTCCTGTGGATTAATAGAAGTAAAATACACGCTGGCGTTTTCACTCTCTCGCTCTCTCTGTGTGTCCTAAGTGGGTTTGATTCATTAACGGGGATTGTGTGTGTGTGTGTGTGTGTGTGTGTGTGTGTGTGTGTGTGTGTGCAGCTCATTGTCTTTGAAACACATTGTACGAGAGGTCGCCGGATAATTACTGACAAATGTATGTTGTGCGTCCGCACATAGTACCAAGGAGTATCCGGTGGTGCCTCGCAGTACGGTGCGCCAGAGAGTGGGCTCCAGCCACAGCCCGTTCAGCGGCGAGGTCCAGGGCATCGCCACCCCGAGCGCGCTGACCTCCCAGTACTCCCAGTGTGAGAACGGGGTCACCAGCACGTCACAGGACATGCTGCCCCAGTCGGGCTCCTACCCCCTGCCGCATGAGCACAGCCAGGAGTACCACTGCATCAAGAGGAAAGGTAGGAGACAGTTACGGGAGGCTGTGGTTTAGTTGCAGGATTAGTTGCCTTTGGGAGCTGAGCCCTTTTAATGAGTTGGGTAAATGCTCTCAGGGCATAAATCAAACGTCACAATATAACTCAAGTCATGTGACGTTTGTTCTGTACCTCTGTAACTCTACCTGTAGTGGAGGACGACTGTCCCTCTGGCGAGCAGAGCTATAAGAAAGCCTACCTGGAGAGCTCGTCCAGTGAAGAGGACCATTACTACCGTCCCGTGGGCTACGCCCAGAGCCTCGGCCTGGCCGCCGGGCCCTACCGCAGCGAATCCAGCCAGCGGCAGGCCTGCATGTACGCCAGCGCCTCGCAGGGGGCCGAGCCGGTCCCCAGCCTGGAGGACATCAGCTGCAACACTTGGGCCAGCGTTTCGCCCTACGGGAGTTGCTCCGTCACCACCATGCAGCCAATGGAGCGGCTGCCCTACCAGCACTTCTCCGCCCACTTCACCTCGGGGTCCCTGGTGTCCCGGCTCGGAGGGGTCGGGGGCCACGCCTCTCCGCAGCTCGGCGACGGCCACCACGCCGCCATGTACCAGAGCTCCATGACCCACCAGACTCTGGGCCGCCAGTGCAGCCCCGGGGCCGGGATCCAGTCGCCAGGAGCTGGCCTGCAGGGAAATGAGTACCTCTACACCCACGGCATACCACGTACACTGTCGCCACACCAGTACCACACAGTACACAGCGTCAGCATCATGCCAGAGTGGAACGAGAACAGCTAGGGCTTCTGTTGTTTATTATTTTTTTTAAATCACACTCAACGGATGATGATGATGAGGAAGACGGAAAGGAAAAAGCGAAAAGGACCAAAAGAAGGCAGGGTTTAGATGAATATATATTTATGATTTTTAGAGGACGCGTCGCTGTTCATCTTAATGAGATCAGTGTTGGTTCTTTGACCGCGGTGGATATTGGTAAGATTGTGTTAAATTAGGAAAAGGAGCATCTTATCACTTAACTTGTGACCGCGTCTGCACTTATGAGCACGGAGCAGAAACGTTGAACCAAGAGGAGCCGGACCAGGACACGTGCAAAGACTGTTCAAGAGCAGACAAAGTGAACAAAGTGAGGGGAAATTCAGACCCTGCAACAAAAAACACACAAAAAAGGGTTCCGTTGCTTAGCCGGCGGCCCCCGAGTTCACGGTGTTCCGGCGCGGTGGTGTTTTTTGGATGTCAAAGTAAAAAACTCTTATTTTGCATTCCTGTCCAGAGTTTTTGTAAAGAAGATTGTCTTTTGTCACATTATCCGGAGTTCTAATTTTCTTTCTTTCTTTTTTTTTTTACTTACTTTATAGTCAAATTGCAATAAGTTCAGAGTGAATAAGAAGATAAGAGCTTTTGTTGTGGCTCTTGTGAGAATTTGCTCGCTCTTAAAGCAGTCCTGTAGCTGGGTACTTTTACATTGATGTCAACAATTTAATCTTAGTGCCATTATGAGAAACATGCCGGTAACGATCACAAGTAGGACAGCACTTCAATTGAATAGATTATTGATGCACAGACATTTTGAGCCTCTTCCCTCGGGGTTCAAACTGGCAACAGCGTTGCAACAACGCAGAGATGAGAAGCACAAGCACTGGGATTTTAACCACATGATGTTCCCTGTTCTTGCTGTCACATCCACGATTTAATCGGCTACTTGATTGCAGGGTGAAATGCATTAAAGTTTAATCCAATCAATCCGTGAAAGCATCACTCCAACCCAGAAGAACTGTTCAAATGTTCTTTCCACACTGTGGTTTTCAGATATTCATTCAGATACCATTTACGGATTTTAGTTTGATTTCAGATTGATGTATACAGATTTACAACAAGCAACAAAAGGATTATTTAATAAAACACTAAATGTATTGTTTAGATCTTGTAGTATTGCAGAGCATTAGACTTCAAGTCATCATATGTCCAGAAAAAACACATGAAAGTAAAGGTTTTCTCTGTCTGCTGAATGTGTAGTTAGGCAAAGGGATGCTAAAACATTTATGACTTGTGTCATACATCAGAAATGTGCGTTTGTTGCCTTATTTTCGTGTTCTTCTGCCTTTAATTGGCCAAAAAACCCATCAAACATCAATACAGCTTTGGAGAATGGAGGAACCACGGACATTATATAGTACAGTAACAATTGACACTGTGCCGTTAAAAACAACTTATTTTTTGTTCCGAATTCCCCCAAAAGGTTCAAGTACATTACGTTACATTAGTACTCTAAACCGAACATAAGATGAAGGAATCATATAAAATGAAGCTATTCCAGTTGGCACCATTGCCATGTTTGAACATTTTCTATTAAATCTGGTATGTTTAAAAAGAAGAGTTTGTGTTTGAAATGTTTGCGCTGCGTCCCATTCCGGCCTCATCCCACTCTGTGATGTCAGATGTCTCTTCAGAGACCGACACATTGTCGATATATCTAAATATTCTTTATTTGGATTGTATAGTGCAACACACCATCTATTGGGGAAATAGCTGATCAAAACTACAGAAAGCCGTCTTCATTGTGGTTTCAGAGAGTTTGACAACATTTTCGTATTAAAAACACCTTGAATGTTTTTGCCCTCTTTTCTTGACATAAAACCCCTGCAAAGTCTGAAAGAGATTTCGTATCTTTTTGTATTAGCTTTAGTTCTGTGTTTCATGCATTCTTGTGCTTTACGCAGTGAATTTGTACGCTCCATACTCATCATTTGTATTAATCCCCCAAATGGCACTTCTCTGACAGATAAAACTAAAACAACAACATTCACCACACAATTTACTTGATACACATTATGAAGCCGTTTTACCAGACAAATGAGTGTGTGTTTGAAGTATGTTTTACATGTGGACAAAGGCAACTTTTAAATGTGTATAGTTGATGGAATACTATTTGTCAATAGTATTTATTTTTCAACTATTTAAATTAGCTTGCTCCTGCATGTGTCAAAGATAGAACGTCCCATTTCTTTTTTTATAGCCTGTTTTTTATGATTGTTTGTAGGATTTTTCTAATCATACTTATATAGAAATCAAGAGATTACTATACAACTGTCAAAAAGTATCAAAATAAGATTGAAACACATGGATCATTTTGTAAATACACATGTACATAACAGAATACCTGCAATAAATTTTAAAAAATGAAGTGCTGGTCTTTTGTCTGTCGGTTGGTTTTCTATTGTTCCAGATATAGTGTTATACGAGGGTAAACAAGTGCATATATTGTAACTACTTTGGCAGCATGTGCTGCTAAGTTTGACTAACTACTATTTGCCTCCTTGCATTTGTCAGGGCGGGATAAATGCAATAGTTGGTGCCCAGTGATTACGCTTTATTGTATCCAGCATCCCTTAACCCCTTAGATAATCCAGGACAGCAGACATGGGTAGATAATCCATGTCTGCTGTCTGAACAAAGTTGGTTGATAGCAAAGGTTTTTAACTCAATTGCATACAAAACAAGGCCAACACGAGTCCGTTCATATGGTTAATAGGTGTGTAGCCACATATTTAGGGAAAGTTATCACATCATGACTGTGGGCTTCGTGGTCTTTTAGTACGTTTTTTAGTTACATTCCGTATTTCCCGGCTGAATGGATAAGCGCGGGCAGTGATAGTTCAGGAGATTGAGATTAGTATAAAGACTCCGGATGAAGAATTGTCCATACCTTCCCTTCCAGGGGCCACAAGGGCCACATGATAAAATAATCAACCACCAAAGAGCAGCAGTTTTGTGCCCAAAGGTTTTGTGCCCACACCAGATTTTGCCAGGTGGACTCTACTTGTGACAAAAACCAAGCAGGACAGGAAATAACATTGGTTGTGCCGAACGCATAAAACAGCAGGGATTATTAGAGTGGGCTAACAACTGAGCTGTACCCCTCTATCTCTGATGTGTTCCTCAGATGTACATTTAGAAAAGGGTAGGAAGAGAAGCTTCTATCTACTCAGTACGGCCCCGCTGACTCAACTCAGGGTATTAGAGGAGGAGTAGCTTGAAAGCCACAACCGAGCTAACGGAGAGGAAAGTCAATAAAAAGTATATCTGTACCATCACTTCGGGACTCATGGGCATTTAAATCCCTCTTTCATGCAGTAGTTTATAGAAATTACAAATCTACTAATTACTTACTGATTTAATTCACACCAGCAAAGCAAATCAAGTGATTCCATTGAGATTTAGCAGTAACATTTGTATCATAAAATTGTCCAAGCCATGACAAAAACTATTCAGTGCAACATGAATCAAAAGTGTTGAAAAAGAGTGTCAGTCAGTCATCTTTTATACCGCTTATCCTTACAGGGTCGCAGGGGTCAATCCAAGCTAACGTCGGGCGGGTGACCGGGTACGACACAGACTGTTCGCCAGTCAATCGCAGGGCTGACGTCATAGAGAAAAAAAAACATCTAAACACCTACGGGAAAATAAGAGTCACCCATCTTTAGAAAGCTGGATGTGTGTTGGTCACCACCGTCAAGGAGGTCCTGGGTTCGACTCCACCCAGTGGCCTTCCTTAGCAGAGTCTGCATGTTCTCCCCGTGTCGGCGTGGGTTCTCTGGCTTCTGCCCAGAGTCCAGAGATGTGTATTGCGGATTAGCTTGATTGGTGACTAGGTGTGTGGCTGTGGATGGTGGTTTGTCCCTCGCCCGATGTTAGCTGGGATTGACTCTAGCGATAAGCGGCTTTGAAGATGGATAGAACATGCAAACCTCACTTGCTGCTTACAAACTCGGGACCTTCTTGCCGAGCAATAGTGCTAACCACCAAACCACCACATGTCACAGCATCTGTCAATTCCACTCATCTGTCCGTCTGTGGAGATTCTCTATAAACTACAAAATGACAAACCCTGCACGGACTATTGACCCTCGAGGACTCTCGGTTTTGCTCCTATTCATCTTTCCCTGTGTCGCCCCATCGCCCGGGCCTCTTCATCTCTTTTACTCCCTGTGATCCTTTTCCCAATCCTTCCAACTACCCCTCAACTCTCCCCACCACCCAATGGCCAAACACAGTGACCTAGACTCCCGGCCTCCTTTGATGTGAGTGATGTGACCCCTGCGCTCCAGATGCCCCAACACCGCCAGTCTTATCCTCTCAGAGAGCCGGCACAGCCCACAGAGAGGGCCAGTCATTAACCCTGCACAACCCGAGCCTCCCCTCCACTGCTTAAACACATGATGTATCACAACACCCACCCACCCACCCCCAACCGTACCCCCAGATTCACCCAAACATGCATGTGTGGGCGAGGGCCGGTGATGCAACGGGCTCTTTAAACATTTAAAGAACAGGTCAGCTTTTCAAAGCGGGGAGGGGGAACCTTTGGCCACGGCTTCAGTTATCATGGTCAGTGGCTTAAAGCCTGGTGATACGTCAGGAGGGAAACGAATGAATGTCTAATGAAGGGAAAGCCTAGATGATGAATGAAACTTCACACTGGTACATTGCTAGTTTATTTTCATTATGAGTGTATATCTTTTGAGATGCCGATGCTGATAGGATCAAAGGAAACAACGCTTCTATCTACTAACTGATTGAATAGAATGAGAAGTAGAAACGGAATTAGATGAACTGTTTTCATTATTATGTTGGAACAGCACTGAATTCCTTAAAACTACATCAAGTGTCTTTCAGTAAACCCCAAATCTTTTTGTTACTCCAGCAGAGAGAAAATTAAAACAAGTCATTTCTGAGTAATGATGAGCCATGGCCTCAGTCAACCTTATATCTGAAACCCAAACAAATCATAGTCTGGGTGCCCCGCATGACAAAGGAGAAGAGCGCAAGAACAAGAGCATTCCAAGGGGTAGAAAAACGAGGGGGGGATTACTTTATTAAGATGTACTGAAACGCAGATCACC